GTTCAGGGCTTATATAAGAGATTAACCTTTAATCTTGTTCTTGGTAGCTTTCCCTCGAGTGAATGTAATTTTAACTCATTATTTCTATTCCTGTATAGTTATTCCATGTGTATAAGTAAGGAATATCAGTAGTCTCAATTTCTTCACTGACTCACAGATTTTATTTGCTATGGTGTCACTTATGTTACTTATATTCAAATAGCTTTTGTTTCTTGGGTGAGATTTTTCTGGTATTTTTGTTTGAAACTTGCTCTAGTAGTTCTCCTATTTTTGAAATCTTGACTTTAAAAGTTTTGTCAGTGAAGGATGTTGGTTATCCACAAAGGCAACTTTCACCTCTTTTTCTCATATATGTACTTTTTTTTTGTATAGATAGAAATATTCTTCAAGTTGGAAAAAGATGTTTGTCAAAGTGCAGCTTGTTATCTCAAACATATTTCGTGAAAGGCTTATTAAATGAATGGTCTCAGTTTTAAAGAAAGTGTGTAACTGTTTTAATACCTTCATGTAGAGGGATGGATGCTTAAAGTGATACATTATCAAAACTGTAAAATATAGTGTTTCATAATAATGGAGTAGGTGGGGTCTTTGTGAAGTCTTCAGAATTGGTAGGGTTCACACAAGCCCTGGAAAGTCTGGAAAATTATAATATAGTCAAGAGTCTGTAAGTCATTTTAAACTGTCATGATCCATCATCAGTTTGTTTACTCTCCAGAAAAGTGTGTTGATTTTGACAAGATGGTTGTAGCTATGAAAACAGTGCTGTGTATATAATTAGTCATTTACTGCCTAGTGCTGACTAGTCATGTAATAATAAAATATTTAAGTACAAACTAATCTTAGTGGACACCCCTATGGATAATTTTGCAATGGAATAGATATTGATGGAATGCTCTGTTATTAAACTCAGTTTTATTCATAATGTTCAGTTATCTACTACACCATGTTGTACTTCTAGCCAGAAACAGCTTTAGGATAACATAACTGCATTTCATGAACCAGAAGGCTACTTTTTTTAATTCATGGAATTTTGGATATTCCATGCAAGTAGTAGGTATAGATATAGGTATATAAGTAATAGAATGGAAAAAAAGCAACTTGTTTAAAGCTTATGCTTCTTGCTAATAAGGTAGTATTATCTAGATGTTTTGGGGTCCTGTAAAATGGATAAATGTATCCTGAAAAGTCATTGAAAAGTTTTAGAATTTTGTTTGTGGTAAAGTGTACAAATTCTGAATCAGGAATCCCTGTAAAAGTGTTTACAAAACATACCTTATCTCACACTACAGCTATTACTTGACTGCTAGTGTTTCCTTTGTCTATCTAAGCATTGGTCTGATTTTTTCTTGCTTGCTCCAACAACTAGGTGTTCCATAAGACTACCTAGAGACAGATTGGGTTGTATTACTATACTTTGCTGGATTGCCACTCATGGGCTAACATGAGTAAAGCATAAGGAGATCCTGCCCGTCCTTGTCGATCATTGGATTGAATAAATTGGGGTGATGAATTTGTTAGCAGATCAGTTGTCGACCCAACCGGATTCTCCCAACAGAATGGATGCTGCATCGCCAGGTTTTCCATTGGATTTGTGCTCAGACATTGTTAGGTTTCAGTTACCTAACTAGGATATTAAGGCAGTATTACATTCTTTTTCTCGACATCTGTTTGAGCTCTTAGCCTCATGTACCATGTATTAAATCAATTCATAGATTCTCCAAATTCACGATGGAGTCATTCCTCACTCTACATTGGTATTTTTTACCAGGACTGTGGAATACCAAGTTTAATATAACTGATGCCTGTCTACATGTTCCCTGCCACTGTCTGTGTTTTGTGCACAAGGGTCAGGTGCTGCAGCTCAGGTCTTTACCCTTTGGACTAGCATCAGCACCAATTGTTTGAGCTTTTTCTCATCACCTCCATTTCCTAAGCCTGTGCATACACCGTTACATGGATGACTGGTTACTGCTGGCACCATCTCATCAGTTGGTGGAACGTCACACCCAGATTCTACTTTCTGAAGTAACCAAGATAGGCTTTATTATCAGAGCCAAGAAATCTATTCTCACTCCAATTCAATATATCTTCCATCTGGGTGTCATTTTCAACACATATCTCAGTTGGACTCAGCCAATTCCCATCCATCTCCACACTATGGAACAAGCAGTCCGACTCTTATGTTTTCTTCTTCCACTGTGTGGCTGGTTCTTTCTATTTTGGGGATTTAGGCATCACTCAAATCTTTCATTCCTTTTGGACGAGCACACATGAGATCCAGTCAGTGGTCTGTACGTGACCTATGGATTATGATTGATGGATGACAAGGCTTCCCTACACATCAGTGTTTTAGAACTTCTTGCTGTTCAAAGGGCAATGTCTCAAGGTTTGAACTTATTGAGGGGAAAAAATTATCATGCTTCACTCTGACAATTCCATGGTATTGCCTTACATTGCCCATCAAGTGGGCACTCAGTCCAAATCTCTTTGTTTTTGAACAGTGGGTCTTCTTTATTTGGCCCACTCCCATCATATCATCCTACTAACTTATTAGCCTTATTGACTACCTTTATATACACGAAGAGATAGAAATTATTTGAGTCCCTTGTATTCCTCCTCAAGTCACTTGAGGTCCTTCATCCCAAAGACCTTTTCAGTTACCTAACTGGGATATGACATTTGTTTGAATCCTTAGCCACATGTACCATGTATCACCTTTCCTGGTCGAAGTTGTTTGCATTCATTGTGCACAGGATGCTTTATCATTGTACCTATGTCCTCCTATACCCAGACAGGTCCTTCTAACCTAGGACACTGGCACCCAGGGAAGGGGATAAATCCTTTTCACTGATTCATCTGACCTCTATTTTTCACCTCAATGACTGATTGGATCCTGACCATTTGTTATGTTTAGTGAGGGCCTTGAAGTGTTATGTTGCCTGCAGTAACATCTTTCAAGGTGCTATACAATGACCTTTTATTCTTTTGGATCCATCGATTTCTTTGGATTTATCCCCAGTTACCTTGATGAGGTGACTATGAAAATTGATCCATATAGCTTATTCTGAGCTCTCTCTGGAAGTGAGGAGACTTCTGTTAGTCATGTCTCAGCAGATTTGTCACATTTCTATGTCCATAGTGGCCCAGTTGAATTGCCTGCTGGAGGACATTGTGCAGTTTTCCCTCAGTACTTTTATCTCGCATTACTTGCATGATCTGGCAGTCTCTTCCTCTGTAGCTATCTTAACCACATTCACTAGATTATAGAGAGGGGTGAAGAATTTCATTACTAATCATACCTCTTCTTTACTTTACAGGGTCTCTTACCTCTTTTCACAGGATGCCACTGTGTGGGGAATGTTGTCCAGGCAGGTGTACTTTTATCAAACCGAATCTGGACTAGCAACGATCAACGCAATACACTCTTTCAAGGTTGCAACAGACTCTGTAGAAATAAAGTGTTCCATAAGACCATAGAAGCAGACTGGGTAGTATTACTATACTTTGCTGGACCACCACTCATGGGCTATCATGAGTAAAGCATAAGGGGATCCTACCCATCCCTCCCGATGAACTTGGTTCATCTATTGCACTGTTTCCAGAACATTGTTCCTCAGTACTTCCCAATGTGCATTACCCCCCCTCCCCATTACTAGTGGAGTCCTTACCACACCTATTTTTCCAGTCACTGGGTTGGTGGACAGAGGTTATTCTTTCAGACTGTTCTAGGGAATTTTTTTCCATCTTGGAGAAAAGAGCAAAGATGGGAGCCAGATGTTGGTAAAAGAAGCACCAGCCTATGTGGGAGCCTACTTGTAATACAAGTTTGTGCCACATCCTCCACATAATTCTGGAGACAAGTGGAATTTACCTTGTCTACACAGTTGGGGAGTGAGGATGAGTGTTCATAATTCCAGACCGGCTGAATTCTGTTTCCTCAGCTTGAGTATGGCATACAGGATCCCATTATTCTGACTTTGGGATGTTGTCTTTTGGACTTCTTCAGAATGAGGAGAGGGTTTGTCCACTTTGGTGTTGCTTACCTTCTTCTCATGATTTTGGTGGCTCAAAATGCATCATCCTATAGCTACAGGCTAGGATCCAGTTACAAGTATATTTACTGTGGTCCAAATACCCTAGCCACTAATGTTGGATTTAGGGACCATGGTCCTATGATTCCAACCCAAAGCAGTGTAACCTCGGCTACCTGTTTGGGACCTGGCCAATAGTGATGATGATGACAGATCATGTCAACTTCCACCTGCAATGTATGAATTAGGTTCCTAGTGAAGAGCATACCTGTTCTGGATGTAGTGCCGTTCCCCCCCACTAGGGTGCTAATCTTCTGTTGGCATGCCCACAATCTATTTATAACCATTCTGTATTCATAATGCCCTCACTGGGCCCACCACCTTTTCAATGTGGGATTCTAACTGTAGTGTGAGTGGAGGTATGTATGTTTTGGAAGTTAATATTTTCTTAAATCAAAAATGTATTTCGACAACAATACTTACCTTTTCTCCTGCCCTTCCTCCTCACTAAGAGCTGGTGTTAGAGACTGCGATTTGGGTCAGTCTCGAAAAGTGATAATATTATCTGAATGAGGTGCTTATATACAGTACAAGGATAGAGGCCATATTGATGTTGGTGGAGAGTGTCATGAGACAGATATTGCCAAAGGCTACTAAATGGGGAATAAAAGACTGCCGAAAATGAGAATAAAATCAGACTGATGCTTTGATGAGCAAAGGAAGGAAATTCTAGCATTCAAGTAATAGTTGTAGTGTAAGAGATGGTAAGTATTATTGGAAATACATTTTCGATTTAAGAAAATGTTAACTTTCATGAAATACCCGGGTTCCCTAAAGGTTTGGGTGAAAAGTTTTACCTTGGTGCCAAGATGATTCATTTGGCCCCCACTTAGAAGTTGATGAGTCCAGCAGCTTAGAAGAAGAGGTTTTCAGGACTGAGATGATTTGTTTGATACCACTTAGAAGTTGGTTTGACCAGTGGTTTAGGAGGAGTTAATTGACACATGCTCAGACAATCTTGAACTACTATGTTTTCAGTTTAATACAAATTTAATTTCTTTAACCAAGCTAGGAACGGTAATTAGTAGGTCTACTTATTTACATGCTCTAATGTATATCAATGCCAAATTTGGAGTCTACTTTAAGGAATCCCTGTAAAAGTGTTTTTGCAAAATGCCCAGGTTCCCTAAGGGGTTGGGTGAAAAATTTTACTTTTGTGCAAACCTCAGGGCTGAGACAACTTGTTTGGCACCATGTAGAAGTTGATGGTCCAGCATTTTAGAAGAAAGGGTTTTAGGGAAATAACTGGGTTCCTCAAGGGGTTGGGTGAAACATTTTACCTTGGTGTAAAACCTCGGGACCAAGGTACCATCTAAAAGTGAGTGTGATCAGTGGTATAGGAGGGGTTACATAACACACACACAAACACACACTGAATCTTATTATATAGATTTACCATTTATTAAGAAAATAAGTAAGGAAATATATACACACAAACACACACACTTTTATGGTTTAAAGAATATAAATTTGTAAATTTGGTGCTTAGAATAATAATAGAAAAAGTATGAAGAAACCTATTGACTTTCTTCATTAGTGTGTACAGAGGTTAGATATTATAGAACATACTGCCATTAACAATGAAGTTATTCAAGCATTGTGATGGGTTTGGATACACTGGTAACTTTAATAGTGCAGGTGTGTCAAATTTGAAGAATCTAGAAAGGACTAAAACATCATATTTCAATAGCAGTAGTAACAGTTTTTATTGAGAGGATATTATAGATTATGCAGAAGTTTGCAATTTACCTAATTGAAACAAGAGAAGTTAAGCTACCAGTAGAATAGTTGCTTTACAATGCACCTTTTGGAGTAAATACATTAGTATTAATGTGAATCTCAACAGGTGATATCTTTATTATTTGTGACTGATTATAAAAACATTATTTTATTGTTTGTCATTTATACTACTTTCTTTAATCACAGTATACCACTAAATAGAGGCTGTATTTTATCAAGTATACTTGATTGTGAAAAGCAAGTAAAGAATATTCATATAGCTTTAACCTTTGTTTTACATTATTAAGACACCTAACACTAATTTAACTTGCTTTTTTCATGAACTTTAGTTGTAAATATTTCAAAATGAAATCAACATTTCCACATAGAAATTTACACATCAAAAACAGTTATTACCATATTTATCGAAATTTTCTAGTTTTGATTAACAGTTTTTCAATTACTGATCAATTTAAATTCTTCTTAGTATCAAATTCATCTCTAGTCACATAATTTTTCTTTTGTACAAACATAATTGTTAATTTAAGAGAATATTTTGTGGGTGAATGTTTTGTTTTTACCTTGCGTGAATTGTTGAAATACTTAGTATTAAGAAGTTCCTTTTGATACTGGTTATAGTGATAAACATTCCATATCTTTTTAACACTGTTACATGTTCAACTATATTTTGCTTTTCAGGCATAACTCAACCAGAAAATGAGCATAAATCCCAGACAGCTATTACTCACTCTCAAACATCATCTACTCCCCCACATCCTAGGCGAAGTATAACTAAAAGCATAGTTTCAGCTACATCTAATAAAGGTGAATTGTCTCATTATAAATACTGTTCTGTGTCTTATATTTAATTGAATTTAGTTTTGTATAATATATTGTAAAAAAAATTGTTGCTTAGTGTATGATATTTTAAGCTCTTGTTGCGTCAGCGAGTCACATGACTACAGTGACGCAACGTTTCTAGAACTATCATGTACTTTGGCGAATGTTGTAGTTCTTACTAGATATAGGGTAGGCTGATATATAAAAGAGGGGAATGTAATGTCTGGAGAGACAGTGAGTAATTG